CTGGGAGGATCCCCGGGAGATGGGGAGAGGGTGGGCATCGCCGGGAGTTGGGGATGATGGTGGCCTTTGCCGGGAAACCGTCTATTGGGGCGAATCGCGGCTAGGGTTCATATGCCGATTTGGGGGAACTTTTTTTGGACACCGGTCGGCCAAAAGGAAGGAAAACAAAATAAGGGAGAATGGGTCTTTTCATCCCAAGGTTTGAGCCACACCATCTAAAACATCCCAAAATTTAAAAACATGCCATTTTCATCCCAAACTTTTCAAAAATATGTAATATTAGGACATTTGTTAATTTTTTCAAGTTATTAACGACGATATTTCATTCAGTTCTTTTCCCCAATTTTTTTTTTTAGTAAAAAAAGTTTCATGCTTGCGTTTGGTAAATTTGATCCATACCAAGCAAAAACGTTGCATGCTCCTGCATCAATTACAACACCAATTTTTATAATGATGCTACATATTTAAAAAAATAAATGAAATAAGGCTTACTTTATAATTAGGACACACACAAAACCTCTCATGATTGTTATCAATCTAGAAGGTGAATCTTGGATTTTTTTTTTCTTTTTCTAAGCAAGGGAAGAATGGATGATGTGAAGACCAAATTAGGTTTAGCTATTTTCTTATAAGGTGGGAGTTAGTGGAACGTGTTAAATGATTAAAAGAATTAAGGGAGGAGAAACAGAATAAAGTACCACTACTAATTAATTAACTGGAGTTAAAAATTTAACGAATATCCTAATGTAACATGTTTTTAAAAAGTTTGGGATGTAAATGGCATGTTCTTAAACTTTGGGATGTTTTGGATGGTGTGGCCCAAACTTTGGGATGAACAGACCCATTTTCCCAACAAAATAATAGATATTCGGTCCAAGGATTTTATATTTCTACTAAATCGGATTCTGGAAATCCGATTTGGTCAAAATTTTATTTTCTGAAAAGATCTAATTTACACAAAATCGGATTTTAACATTCTGTTTTAAAGAATAGTCGGATTCCACGAATCCGATGTGTGTTTTTAAAATTGGATTCTTAAAATCCGTGTTTATCTAAGTCCGATTTTTGAAAACCCATCTTGTTACCCTAGTCGGATTTTCTAAACCCGATTTATAACCCTAGTCGCATTCTCCGAATCTGGTTTTCTCTAAGCAAGATTTTTGAAAACCGCCTTGTTACCCTAGTTGGATTTACTAAACTTGGTTTCTTACCCTAATCGGATTTTTAAAATCCGATTTAAGCCCAAAGCCAAAAAAGAAAAAAAAATCCTCTTAAGATTGTATATGTTTTAAACAAAAAATAAAGGATCCGATATAATTAGTTCCATTTATGGTGTTAAATCTATGTATAGTAAAATGTCGCTAAAGTAATAATCAATAAATTAATAACTTTTAATTATCTTGTGGGATTCAATTTGAAACTTTTACAGTAGATCATAAAGGAATATGATCTTTCGAAATGTCACTTTCTTTTTATGCCTCTATCAATGCACATAAAAAGAGAAACTGTATGAGCATTATGTAAGAGCAGATTCATTCAATCTACTTTGTTGAAGTGGCATCTAAAGAATTCATTTCTCGAATCAATAACATGTTCAATCACAAGGAAGAAATCAAAAGATGCCCTCATCCTAGCAACTGTAGTCCATTTATAATCATTTATAATCTAAAAAATAATTAGATAAGTAATAAAAGAAATAATTAAATATTATAAATGAAAAATATCGTCCATAGCATTTAAAATCAATAGTATTTGTTTTCTAAGTAAAATTTTAAAAGGATAATAAAGAGATGTGTAACATTAGAACATAGAGAAATTAATCTGTACGGTTTGTATTTCATTGAGTATAGAATAGTACATTTATGCATGAGAGGTTACAATAAAGTGGGAAGTAGTTAGGATAAATACAACAACTAAAATAAAGATAATCATTCTAAAAAAAACAGATAAAGATAATAAGTTGCTACGATTATAAATCAAATCTTTCAGTTAATATATGAGTCCATCTAATAGGTAACGAAATCAACGGCTCGTAGCAAGGAGTCTTTAATTTTACTTTACCTTTCTCTCTTTTATCTTTTACATGTTCTAATTTAATTTTGGAAGGAGATTGCTGATTTTTTTTTTGAGGGAGATTGGATGAATAAACTAGAGAGTACATATTGGACAGTGTTGTCAGACTCAGTTTGGACGCCGACCCGACAATAGTAGGGGTCGGGAGTTTTAGGGGTCAATTCGGGTTGACTCGGGGGCGACTCGGATGACATCATGTGACGTAATAAATATTATATGATTATTATATACATTAATAAAAAAAATTGATATTTATGTATCTTTTTTATCTTAATAGTCAAGAAATATTATTTTAAAGCAATGGTAATAGTCAACAATATTATTTTAAAGTATTAAATTACAGTTTAAAATAAGTATATTAGTTTAACAATGAATAAATTAATTATTAGTAATTAAAATTTATAAATATACAAGATAATTAACTTTTAGTATTAATAAAATGTATAACATAAAAATCAATTTCAACATGTTTGAGATGTATTTAAAATTTTGAATAAAATAATGGAGGTTACATATGTGAGAAAAATAATAAAAGAATGTTTCTTTAAAAAAATGGTGTGTTTAATAATTTGGAGCGAAAAGTTTGGGATTAAAATGACAAAATTAATTCTTTGAAAAAAAGTTAGCGGACCATTTAAGAACAAAAGGCAAATATTTGGACCAGAAAGAGAAAGAAAGACACGGAACCCAAGGGAAAAAAGTAAAAAAATTGGTCAGATTAGGCAAAAAACCAAAAACTTCAGATCGACCCGAGTTTGACTGGTTCCCAGTTCGATCGAAGTTTTGACCGGTTTTGACCGAATCTTAAAATAGGGAGTTTTTAAGTCATTCGGCTCGGATCATAGTTCGGTTCTCGAATTAACTGGTTGACCTGGCCGGTTCGAGCCGAGTTTAATAACACTGATGTTGGACGGCCGACGGCAACAGGAAAAAAACAGGAATTAGCGAGAAGTCATAAACCGGAAGGGAGAGAAATGAAGCCCTTGATTGTAGTTTTAAAAGAAATAGTCAATATAGTTTTGGAAGTTAAAAATTACGTTGGCGAAATAACTGTCGAATAATTATTTGTGCTCAATCAACCAGTGACTAGTTAAGAAATTATTTTTATTTCATTATAATGCTGGCAAAATGATTTAGAGATTCAATCATTGAAACTTATTCTTATATTTTGGGCGGGACACAAGGATTCTTAATGCGGTAATGCGACACAAATTTGGTTAATAAATTCCATGTTGCCGAATCATTTGTGGGGATTTGGCCAACTAATACGTCACAATCATTTGGTATATATTCTTTTCATCTCTCTAAAAAAAACGCACACAAATTGTATTTTGTAAGTAGTCCAAAAGACAATACACCTCATAATTTACAACATGACTATTTTTATAGGTTAGAAGTAGTACAATATTACGTGACTTATACAGATTAATTATTGTTTCTTGGACAATCCCGCTTCTCACTCGATGCAAAAATGGTTAAGTTTCATAAAAATAATCATACAATTTGAAAATGGACAGTTTGCTACCTTGTGAATAAAAAATAACTGGTAAAAAAAATTTAAATTTCAATTGAAGCGATATTTAGTGGTTAAAAAATTTAGTTACAACAAAAAATAACAACAATAACAACAAACCTTTTTCCCACTAGGTGGGATCGGCTATATGGATTATATATCACTATCGTGCTCGATCATTACATAAATCATCCCTCGAATTTAAATATTTCAAATCATTTTTTATAGTTTCTTTCCAAATTTTCTTCGGTCTACACTTACCTCTTTTAATTTGAGTTCTTGATTCTATAATTTCTATCCTCCTAACCGGCGGTCTCACTCATTTTATATTATATCGAAGATGTAACAACCATGCATACACAGAATAATGGGAAACGTCACATTGATGTCTTTTCTTCTTTGTATCGTTTCATTTCGGACAAGCCTGGATTGGATTCCCTTTGAGGTACAGACAAATTAAAGTTTAAGAAACTTCAACAACTCTCTTTGAAATATAAAGAAAATTGAAAAATAAAGGAAATGTCACCTAATTACTTATATAGCAATTAAGTTGCCTCTCCGTCGCAGCCATTTCCGCAGTTTTTTAAAGATGGGGACTGATGATTGATCATGCTAAGAAACTAGCTATCACACTACTAGCACTTTTCTAACACTATCAGAACCGTATTGCTTATCGTTTCTGACTCGGCTTGGCCTGGCTGCTCCTAGTTTAAAAATAATTTAGCTTGTAAAAGAATCTCAATTTTGGGACTTTCTACCGTACGTTAGTCAAAAGGAATCATCAATCAAGGAAACGTCTTATTATATAGACTATTTTTATTTTTGTGAAACGAAGGAAGTTTATTAAAATGATCCTATCAAAATAGTTGTGAAATTTTCGTCTCCCGTGCTGCAGCCTGTGTTGCATTGTCAAAACATTGCAGACGTGATAATAGCCAAACCATAAACAAACATTTCCAAAGCATTGCACATTTCCCCATCCCATGCGCAAAGTAATATCAAAGCAGTGCACACTTAAAAGTTAAACATTATGTACATTTCATATATAAACATTGGACAAATAAATGATACCAAAATTAAGCCTTTCATATGTGTTCACAAAGTATTGCACAAAGCATTGCGCACCTTCCGTCTCAAAAAGAAAGTCAGTCACCTTTGTTAAATTAAAATAGTACAACATATTTTTCTTTTCTTTTCCTCGAAACAGATAGAGTACTAATTAATTTAGAGTATTAAAAAATCGGCCAAGGTAGACATGCCCCTAAAGAGTTGTAGGCTTTATATATGATAGTAGCTAACAGGGATGGATCCCCATCATACGATATAAATTCCAACTAGTCTTCCAGCAAATCAATAACACTATACTATGCTTCCTAACGGAAATTGTTCATCTCAAAGCATCCCAAAAAGCCAGATGGATAGCTTGAGAAAATGCCAAGCAAATTACACTCCCTTAACTCCTATACATTTCCTAAAGCGGGCCGCTTCAGTATATGCGGATCGTACCTCCATCATCTACGGCGATAATGTTCGTTTCACCTGGAAAGAAACCTATCAACGGTGTCGCCGCCTTGCTTCCTCCCTGAAATCTTTGAACATCGTCAAAGACAGCGTTGTAGGTGTTTTCTTTTCTTTATTTTAATTTTGTTCCGTAATATTCATTGCCCTTTTCTTTGATGATACGAAGTCACTGAGTGGCGAATTCAACCGATAAAACCTAGCCGAATAAGTCTCGAACCTGAATTATAATTAACACCCCCAAGCACTTTCCACTTTCAAAACCCAGTATGCTGCAGCTTTTTAAAACTTTATATTCCCATTTCTCAACATGCATTCTATAAATAGTTGTATAATGTTATTTAGGATATTTTCTTTGAGTTTCTTTTTCTTTTTTCTTATTTTCTTTAGATGTGTATTCAGGTGTATTTGTTGACATCAAAACGAAATTTTGGTTTATAAATGTTTTCTGGTTAAATTTGTTTTATGTCGTAAGTAAAATTTATTAGATACATTTTGTTGTTTATAAAATTCATGTCGCATTATTTGTTGGATCACATATTTCATATTTTATACTTTCTGGGTCCTAGAATAATTGTCTAGTTAGAATTTTTTACTTTTAATACCGTTTCTATTATTAAAAAAATCAAAAATAGAATTATTTCGAGAATCACAATAATTTTACGCACGACCAAGGTTGGATGCTCACTGATCAGAACAATTCCAATCGAGTTTTTAATGTGTACATGATGCTTCATATATACTCTGTTTTCAGGTTTCGGTTTTGGCACCAAATATTCCGGCAATATACGAAATGCATTTTGCGGTGCCCATGGCAGGTGCTGTCTTAAACCCTATCAACTCAAGACTTGATGCTAAGACCATTGCCAACATTCTCAAGCATTCCGAAGCCAAACTCTTGTTTGTTGATTTCCAGTTTGTTCCGGTAGCTACCGAGGCACTCGGAATCCTACAAAATCTTAACAGAACTTCGATGATGGTCGTCGACATGCCACGAGTAATCGTCATCGATAACCTCGGATCTCCTACCGGCGTTCGTCTCCACGGCGGGCTGGAGGATGAAGGAGAAGAATACGAAGAATTAGTTCGACGAGGAAATCCAGGGTACGTCCCGGATGAACTCGAAGATGAATGGGATTCAATCACGTTGAGTTATACGTCCGGGACGACATCTACCCCGAAAGGGGTCGTGTGTAGCCATAGGGGAGCATATTTGACCGCCTTAAGCCTGATTCTGGGTTGGGAAATGGGTAAAACCCCGGTTTATTTATGGACGCTCCCAATGTTTCACTGCAGTGGGTGGAGTTTCACGTGGGGTATCGCGGCGCGAGGCGGCACCAATGTGTGCATCCGAAACCCGACGGTGCAAGCGATGTACGAGGCCATTTCGCGACACGGCGTGACCCACATGTGCTGTGCTCCCATCATTTTAAGCATCCTTCTGGAGGCCAAGCCCAATGAGCGCGTGGCAATCAACAACCCGGTGCAGGTACTCACCGGTGGAGCCCCACAGCCGCCCGCGCTCGTGGGGAAAATGGAAGCCTTAGGATTCAGCGTGGTTCATGGGTACGGGTTAACCGAAGCCACGGGGACTGCGCTAGTTTGCGAGTGGCAAGAAAGCTGGAAAGATTTGGGAGCAAATGATCAGGCCGCCCAGCTCAAGTCCAGACAAGGGGTTGGGATATTGAGCCTTGCCGATGTTGATGTCGTTAAGGATTTAGACAAACTGGAAAGTGTGGCCCGAGATGGGAAAACAATGGGAGAAGTCGTCCTACGTGGGAGTGGCCTCATGAAAGGATACCTCAAAGACAACGGAAGCGACCGCGAAAGCATTTCACAAAGAGAAATGGTTCGTGACGGGTGACATTGGGGTGATTCATCCGGATGGATACTTGGAATTCAAGGACCGATCCAAGGATATCATTATATCTGGGGGTGAGAATATTAGCAGCCTGGAAATCGAAAGCGTGATTTACAAACACCCTTGTGTGGCTGAGGCTTCGGTTGTAGCCATGCCACATCCAAAGTGGGGAGAAAGTCCTTGTGCATTTGTGAAGCTGATGAAGGATACTAGTGCTATGAGTAGCATTGGTGAGGAAGAAATAATATCCCATTGCAAGCAGAATTTGCCTGGTTTTATGGCACCAAAGATGGTGAGTTTCGTGGAGGAATTGCCCAAGACTTCAACCGGGAAGATTCAAAAGTTACAACTTAGAGAAATGGCCAGATCTTTTGTCATATCATAAAACAAAACAGGAGGCCAAAATATTCACGACAACATGAATTCTATAGTTGGTGCTTGATTTCGGTGCGCTGCTGGTCATTCATTCTAATTGACAAGCTGCGGGCAAGAGCTCCCGCAGATTACAGTTCGCTTCGTGTGTGCTTTCAGTTTCAGAATTTAACATTGAAATCCTCCTCCTAGCTAGTATTTCAAGTATCAAATAAATTAGCAAATCCCTTGTGAAAATGTCCTTGTGCCATTTTTTTGTGAATTCCCCTGCCATATAAATAATATAATAACAGTTTTTTTTTTTTAATAGTTTCAGTAAGACAATTTTGTGTCAATTCCCCTGCCTTCGTATTCTTTGTAGTTGTGCAGCCCTAGGGGCAGATATAGTATCATAATTATTACTATCTCCATTTTTTTAATCTGTCAGTTTTAAAGTGTGCTACCACCAAAATAGATTTTGGTTTCATCGACAGGGTTGTCCTGGCCGTTGACCGAAGGGCAATAATATGCATTCGGAGGACTGTAATATGGGAATATGATTTTCGGTTCGATATGATTAATTATGAGATGTCTCCTGAAGGATTTAATTTGAAGGCTAATTCCATTTGCACTTGAATTGAGATTAATTTAATTAATAAAGGACAAGTTTGATCGATGAATACTTCTCTCGAATAAGTAATTGATTAAGTAAACTAATCAATTAGTTTTCTTGCCTATGACGAAGAGTCACGTGGGTGGACTTCCTCTTTACACTTTGATTAGGCTGGCCAAACTCCTATATTTTAGGAAGGAAGCTATTTTGTCTCCAAGAAAGATGTGACCTAGTTTTGCCTATAAAAGGGAGCAGCCGAGAGCTACAATCATCATCACCCGATCATCATCAAACAACTCAAGACCGACGCCTCCTTTTATCTCTATTTTTCCTTGTCCTTTTAATCATATCTTTTATCATATTTTCATAGAAACTAGCCTAGATAGATAGTTCTTTTGTCTATTCTTTCTTCATATAAATAGGTAGTTTGTTATTGATTTCTAGTTCAGTGAAATCGAATCTTATGTAATCTCTCTTCTCTGTAATAGCATGCCATCAACAAGAAGACTAAATTCCTTGTCGGCACTAGGGGTTTTTTTTTCACCTTTCTATATATAGAAAGCTACTTAGTTTGTTCCACTATCTCTTCTTTTCATCTTTTTACTAACTAAAGAAAACTGTAAGTCCTCAATTTCGAGTCCGAGGCTTGTTTTCGAACTCATCCATAATCGTTCTTAATATTTTTATGTTTGAGAGATGTTTACCCTTGTTTTTCTTTCCCACGGTTGAAGGTGATTTTTTTCGGCACAAACATAATGGCATGCCCAGTGGGACAAGCTTTGGTTTGATTTTTTTTACATAGTGGGATTTTTCCTCTTTTCTGAGAAAAAATTCTATTTTTTTTCTCTTTCATCATGGACTATTTTGATAACCATACTTATGGTTTTAGTAGCCCTAGCATTTTTCTTTGGGTTCACAACTGTCTGAGATGGTAGTCTCCCAGAATTGGATGCTTCTAAATTAGTAAAAGCAATTGCAAGTTAGCTAACTTGTTTCCCAAATCTTGTATACTTGCTCTCGTCTCCTGTTGAAATTGTTGAGTATTAGATGCCAAAGATTTGACAATATCCTCTAAAGACATACATGAATTCTAAGGTTGTGCATGTAATGGAGGTGGCCTGGGGTATGACTGAGTTAGAAATCTTTGCTGGCCTCCCGTATTCCCATATCTAAAGTTTGGATGATCCTTCCATCCAGGATTGTAGGTGTTTGAATATGGATCATACTTGCGTCATGGTTGGTTGGGAAATCCTCCTACAGCATTGACTTGTTGAGTGTCTTCATCATAGAAGTTCTGGCACATATCAGAAGAATATCCTGGAGTTGAGCAAACTCCACAAACCTGAGAAGCTTGAACCTGTCCTGCAGCCATTTGACGCATCATAGCAATTAGATCATGTAGTTGTTTCTCAATATTGGAATGACTTACATGATGAACGCCTTTGGTGGGTACATCTGTCCTGTCACCAAATTGTTGAGTAGTCTCTGCCATAACTTTAATCAAATCTCTAGCTTGTGTTGGTGTCTTATTAATCAAAGCACCTCCACTAGCTGAGTCCAACTGTTTCCTATCGGCCGCATCAAGCCCCTCGTAGAAGTACTGAAGCAGCAACTGCTCGGGAATTTGGTGGTGAGGACAGCTGTCACATAGCTTCCTAAATCTCTCTCAATACTCATGCAATGTCTCACTATGGAAATGATGGATTCCACAAATGTCCTTCCTGATGTTTGCTGCACGTTTTGTTGGGAAAAACTTCTCCAAGAACTATTTCTTCAACTCATCCCAAGTGGTAATTGAGTTAGCTGGGAAGTCATAGAGCCAACTGTTAGCATCACCTTCCAATGAGAAGGGAAAGGCTTGCATCTTCACACACTCTTCAGTAACTCCTTGAGTTTTCACTGTCTCACATATAGCTTGAAATTTCTTCACATGCTTATAAGGATCCTCTCCTGCAAGACCATAAAACTTAGGCAGTAACTGAATTAAACCAGGTTCGAGTTCAAAAGCTACCGTAATTTGTGGCAAAACAATGCAAAGGGACTGTTGGTCAACATTAGGAGTTGCCAACTCTCTCAAAGTGAGGTTGTTATCTCCCATTTCTTCTCCTTCCTGTTCTGGTTCCTGTTTTTCTTCCTGCACAGAATAATCAGAATGATCTAATCCACTATCAAAAGTTACCAGTTCGGACGATTCACCTTCCTTTTTCTTACTCTCTTTTCTTCGCTTACGAGCTTCCTTTTCAATCTCAGGAATGAATTCCAATGAACCTTGTGGATTCGCTCTGGTCATAAGCCACAAAAAGCAACGTAAGAGTGAACAAAGTATTAAGCACTGAACATTAGGACAACAACAACCTGACAGAGAAAAGGTTTATTGTAAGAGAAAAAGATTTTATTTTTTAATTTTTCAAAAGAAATTCAGAAACGTTTATTACGTTAGGCGTGATCACGCCTAACACAACAAAGGCTTCTAGTTCACAAAAAACAGCAAAATAAGACACTGGCGAAACTAGGAAACTAATTTCTTAGCTTCTCGGCAACGGCGCCAAATTTTGGCTAGCTTGTCGAGGCACCCAAAATTAATCCGATAATCCTACCGAATTACAAAATTTATAGTAGTAGTAGTATCAGGTGGAATCCCAAAGGAGCTAGATTCTTAGTTCTTAGTTTGACAATGTCCGAAAAGATTTTGTTTGTTGGTTTACTAACTACTAAGACAAAATAAAAATTGCGAGTTTTAAAAGCAAAGATAAGTAAAGAAGGAGAAAATTCAATATCACAAAGGTTCTGACTCAAGGAACGGATCATCCAATTATTTCACAGATCATTGGTAACTAAAATCATTCTTGCAGTTCGAGCACTCAAGTTTAAGCATACTAGGATAGCCGTAGTAAACATAAAATTCTCTTAAATTAACTAACCAAACCTAGCATTCAGTTAGCTCTTATCATTAAACGCCGGGCACGATAGCGTTCCATACAAGTCAATGATAGCAATAAAAACCAAGGAAATATGCTTGAAACACAATTCAAAATTATTGAGATAGCTGCAATAAATTAAATTATGATTTGCGTATTCTTCTACTAAGCATTCAAGAACACCCTATGTCTCACAAATGCACAAGTAATGTCTAGTTGCTACTAAACTCCAAAGGTTCGTGTCAATTACGTAACATACAACCATTAGGATAACACTAAAAAGTAAATAAAACCAAGTTGTCAATTCAGTTTATACTCACTTTTATAAATTAAAACAAAAATAAACAAACAACTCAAACCATAGACAAGATTATATTAATACCAAAACCTCACATATGAAATAATTGAATTAAATCCCTTGAATCAGAAATAAAGGATTTAACCACTCATATACATGGACATGATAGCTAATTTATTCATAGAAACATAATACCAAGTCTAGAAAAATTGAAAACCCGGAGAAACGGAGACAACCGCTGACCTCCGAAGCCAAAAGAAACTCTGCGCACTATGTATATGTATTGGAATGAAAAACGATGGCCAAAAACAAGAAAATCTGCGGCCTTTATACAAAAGATTAGGTCAGCCGCATGTAAATAAAAGTTCGGCCAAAAATTGCAAAATTGGTCCTTTTATTTTTGATTTTTTCATCATTGACCCACAAGTTCTTTAATAATAAAATTAAGGTCATTAAGTTTCTTCTCATCAGCTTTTGCTTTCAGCAACTTCTATGTTTTGCAATTAAGTCCATCATTGGAGTAAACTTCTTCCTTTGCTCAAGTTGGATGATTTTTGCAGTCTCTTTTTGTATCAATTAGCTCCAAAAAGTTGTAAACTCCGATTTCCAGTTCCTAACACAAAACATTAATAAAACTTGATGAATTAAAACCATCCAAGTCTATAAACTCATAAAATAATAACAATTAAAGCATAATTTATTGCCCTCAAGCATTAAAGAAACCAAAAATTCTAAACTTCAACAAATTCTTGTTTTAGATGTGCCTCAAGAACTCTAGCACTCAAAAGAAATCATGGTAACAATAAAACAAAAATTCACAACCGAATCAAATACATTACGTGCTTTTACCCTTTAGCCCTTTTTATGTGTGTGTGTAAACCACTCCCTAGGGACATCACTGTCACATATAGCATAAAATACAAAAATTTAAATGCAAATATGCCACTGAAGAGTGAACTTAGGATCTCTAATTAAGACCGTACTTCAATGCAATGTTACTCCTACACATATTATGAAACCGAAGGCTTACAATTACACCTCACAATATAAAATTCAACGCACTTCCCTCGTACCCATTCTTTAGTGTCCATATGGCTTTTCTTCAGGATCTTTCCCACTCAGGCCCCTACCCAGAGTAGTTTTCCACTTGATTTATGTAGTAATTTACATAGTGGCTCAACAACTTAGGGCAGTCTACTTACTCATATTTTCTAACCGATGGGCCTGAGGACACTTTGCTAGTTGTTTGCCAAACTTCTCACCTATCAATGGGCTAGCATCAACATTGAATGCTCTTCCTTTTCTCCCTCTTTAAAGTGTACCTAACCTCAGAAAAGCATCCGCCAACAACCCCCCACACTTAAGCAAGAAGGTAAAAAGGCTATTTTCAAACCACCACTCCCCCGTTTTTCGAGTTTGAAGTGATGGTAGGGTTAATGCCTACTTTTGAGTTCAATA